ATCAAATATTTTAACCGTTGCAATAGAACTCATGTGAGCTGATGCATTGTCGTGGTGGAAAAGAACTCTTTTTCGGCAAATGAGGACGCTTTTTCTTCAGTATAGCATCAAATGGGTCTAATAATGAGAAATAATATTCTCCTGTAATAGTTCTTCCACTCTGTAGACTATCCATTAATATTATACCACTTAAATTCAAAAAAATTGTAGCCATAACTTTTTCGGCTGATCGTACCGTCTTCGCTTTTTTCAGACCAGATTTGACAAGCCGAGTCCACATTTTTGACTAATTTTTCGTTTCTGGTGTATAATAATGAATCGATGTTTCAATAACAGTAACGTAGCTTCGCAAAAACTCTTTTGGATTACGTTGAAACATACTCAAACTTTGTTCAGTCGCAACCATACAATTATCACTTATCATCAGCTGCGAGCAAGCGCGGCATCCATCTTACAGACAACTTTCTCATGCCCAAACATTCATGTAAAATTTTCTGTGTGCATCTTACTGAAAAGTTAAGAACCTCAGTAATCTCACACACTTCCAATCGACGATCGGCCTACACAATATCATGAACTTTATCGATTATATCTTGAGTAGCGACATCTTTTGGACGGCCAGAACGCTCAGCATCACTTCTGCTCTCACGGCCACAACGAAAATCAGTAAATCACTTTTGAACCACACCATGCGATGGAGTAGAGTCTCCATAATATTTCCTGAGCTTTTCTTCAGTTTCTTTGATTGATTTTCCCCGTAGAAAATAATGTTTAATAAGTACGCGAAACTCATTTTAATCCATGATTTTGTTTACACAATGAAAAACTAAATTCAAATGACCGTAAAAAGTTTCCAAACCAACGTACTAATATGAAACTTTGTATACTCAAATATACTAAATAGGACTTTCTTACAGTGTAAAATACGTTACGATAACAGCACCATCTCCCGAGAAGTCACGGACTTATTGAACGGCCCTTCTACAATCAATACAATCCAATATATTACATGCATAAACAAAGCTATATGAATTTACTGAGATCATTTGTGTTTTATTATACTTTACGAGATGTATTCAAAAAATAAGGTGAATTTTTAAATTGGACGGGTTACGTAGATTCGAACATCAATATTTTTTTTCATTATGTTGATATTCATGTTCTTCACATATGCTCACAGTTTCAGCCAGTTTGTATGTTTACTTTTTCTTGTGAGACAGAAACGTTAGACCTATTTTTCGTGTTCAGTAATTTTCTGCTGTCGAAAACAATGGATCAAAGTGTTTGCATAAAATTTTGTGTAAAAAATCGAATTAAGTGCTCCAAAACACTTGAAATGTTGACAGTGGCATATGGTGAGTCTATTTTTAGTCAAAAAAATGTTTACAAGTGGAATAAGCTCTTTCAAAATGCCCGAGAAGACACCGACGACGAACCTCGCTCTGGATGCCCCAGCACTTCAATAACTGATGAAAGTATTGAAGAAGTAAAACAAATGATGTTAAAAAATTGTTGAATCACTATTAGCGAAATAGCTGAAGACGTCGTCATCTCTGTTAACTCGTGCCAAGCAATTTTTTCCAAAGTTTTGGTCATGAAACGTGTAGCAGCAAAATTTGAAACTGCTTAATATTGAACAAACGGACCATCGAAGGAGTATCGCTCAAGAGCTGTTAAACGACGTCAATGATGATCCTGATATGCTGAAAAGAGTCATAACTAGTGACGAAACATGGGTTTATGGTTATGACGTCGAAACTAAAGACTGATCGTCCCAAAGGAAAACTCCAGAAGAGCCAAGACCGAAAAAAGCACGTCAAGTTCGATCAAATGTCAAGGTGTTGCTCACTGTTTTCTTTGATTATCGTGGTATAGTACATTAAGAGTTCTTACCACAAGGTAGTGTGGCCAATAAAAAGTATTACCTTGAAGTTATGCGCCATTTACGAGAAGCAATATGAAAAAAACGTCCGGAATTGTCGGAAAATAATTCATAGATTTTTCATCACGATAATGCACCTGCTCACTGATCGTTGCTTGTGTCGATCTTTTTGGTCAAAAACAAAACCACTATCATGCTAGGCATCATATATTCACCGGATATGGCCCTTTGCGACTTTTTCCTGTTCCTGAAACTCAAAAAACTCATGAAAGGACGGAGGTTTGGAACGATTGAGGACATAAAGAAAAAATCGCTGGAAGAGTTCTTCAGGTTATATCAGAAAGTGCTTAGCAGAAGTGTTTCGAGGGTTAGAAAAAATGTTTGTACAAGTATATTATATCCGAAGGAGATTACTTTGAAGGGGACAACATAAATATTGATGAATAAATATTTTTTCATAAAAATAAAAGTTCACCTTACTTTTTGAACACACCTTGTATATTGAATTCTTTTTTATTGAAAAAGCCATACATAATATGAAATATCTACAAAGAAGCTTTTCTGGTGGATGATTTTGCTGTTCCTCCTATGCCATCAGTGGCACTTTTTTCATGCGAAGTATCAACAAAATTGTATGAAACTATTGGTATGGTCTTCAATGTCGTTTCTATCGAAAGAATCTTAATATGTAGGATACAAGATGAGAATCAGCAATTTAAGTTATTTTTTGCCAATGATCTGGCGTTTAAGGAATTGGAACGCAATGTGTAATCCACTCATTCTCGGCCTAGGTGCGTCAGCGCAGCTTATCATAAAGGTTACTAATTTAATTCATGGTTAAATTATTGCCACGTTATTTCCAAATTCACGAAATTCTTCCATTTACCATCGTTATTGATAAACCATACCTCTGCACAATTGAAAAACACCGTCTCCAATGCCGTGAAAACTTCCTCTTCCTGGAAGTCGTAGAAGTACACACACTTCTGCAATTTTCCCAGAAAACGCTCGCGACGGATCCGGCTGTTCCCGAAAATTTAAGACCCCAAGCACGAAACGCCATCACTGCGTCCGCTGGCTTTCTATTCAGCCGGTTTTGGTGGCCGCCAATCGAACGCTCTGTCGGACTTTGACTGCACTTAACCACACGTTGTCTCAATCAAGCTTTTTCGCAACTCGGTTCGAAAGTATTCAAATCCAAAAATTCGGAGTCGCTTTCCCGCTACCGCAACCGCCAACTCAGTTCTCGTCGTGCACACGGCATTTCCCCCCTCGTTACTCGAGTGGCTCTTAACGTCTTTGGCTCTACATCCCTCGATTTAGGAAGTGGATCTGCATCCCATTACATATCCACTTTCTCATGCTCTCATTCGCGAACCAGACGATCATGAAGCCACTGTGTATCAGCCCCAACTGGTGCCGATGACGTCTCAGTATGGGCCAGTCTAACCTCCGCGGTCGTATCGCGGGACAGCGGCTCCGCATATCGAACCGGACTCTCTTTCGGGCGGTATCCGAAAGGGATGAAGAGAATCGTACACAATAGGGCTTCCAGTTCATGGGCTTGTGCCTCATCCCGCGTGACATCGACCACGCAGGATTGATATCCGTACGTACAGTCATGGCGTCTAGACCTAGATCACGGGTACGCAGCGTTGTAGATAACTCGGTCGCATCCGATTGCACACCGAGATCCTTCTGAGCAAGAGAGTTCCCCAATTTGTTGCTCACAGCAGTTACGAAGCGTTGCGCTAAATAAAGTTTCTTTGTTCCATTTTCAACCGCCTATCGCACTGGGGAACCCACCGATTCCCGTCACTCTTCTACGAGAACACGTATGAAGCTCTGCTCAAGCCGTGAACGCAAGCTATTATCTGCAGTAATCAAGTCATGGATACGTTTAAGTCTGATCGCTCGCTGTTCTCCCACGTAATCGGACTGTTATACGAGTAAATCGCGTTCGGGTCGCTCATGCAAGAAGTATCCGCAGAAAACGCAGTTATGAAGCACCCTCAGGTTGCTCTCAATGTTCAAGCCTTGTGCCCTCATGTAAGTCCGAAGATCTTCAGTCTTCGTGGCCACAATCCGTGCTCGTAGTGCCGCCATATCTGGTTGCTGGGTCATCTGTCATACCAACAATTTATCTTTACAGGCCAGTCTGGCCATCACACCGAGATTAAACCTACCCAATAAGCCACTGAGCACGTTTAACTAAGTATAATCACGCTATGTTAATAACGCACGCAAACACAAGTAATAAATAGCGGTTAGCCTGACCAACATTATACGCTAATCCAATGGTCAGGCTTACCCATAAACACACATTTCAATTCCACAAGCGATGTGTTCAGTCTTACACGTGCATGTAGATGTATGTCCGGTCGCTACAAAGCAGTCCGTAATACCTATCCATGAGTTGCTCCATAGAGGCGCTCCATCCACTCATTCACAATAACAATAACTATCCTTAATACCGCTCTTTGTCAGCTCTCTAACAAACGCAAAGCGTACCAGGGCACGAGCAGTATGCTCACACATACGTCAGGTATAACGAAGACATGCGCACAAATCACGAGAAGTATCGAACAAAAGAGAAATCATTAGCACAGCAGTTTTCCCCGTCACACTATAAAGATTCTACAAATGTATATAATATACGATATAGTATTTTATCGTTGTGAACATAAAACTAGTCACATGAATGTAACCCAATTTTTTGAATCCTCGACGACTTCTGTAATCTAAAGGTGATAGTTTAGTGTCCCGATAATCAAAGTCCGGAAAACGAGTCACTACAGGGTCATCTGTGGTGAGACATTTAGCTGGACGTTAACCTGCCTCTCTCCCCTCTAACTCCGTCCCGAAATTCCTCGCCACAACTATTAAAATGAAATATGTGTGTATAGTACACGTATAGAGCAGAACTACAATTATAGACACTGAAAAAAATTTTTTTTAATCTTAAAAAGAATTTTATTTTTAATAATTATTTTATCTAGGAAACCAGTAAAGAGAAAATAATCATTCAATACATAAATAGTAATAAATAACGGTTAGCCTGATCAACATTATACACTAATCCAATGGTCAGGCTTACCCATAAATAAAAATGATTTACCTTCCAGTTATTTCTTCTTCTTCGTCACTGAATGTAGATTCCTGCTCTACAATATGATTTTCATCACTCGAAAGTAAGGTACTTCCATACGTTGTTGTATCTATTGTAAATTCTTTATTTGCATCTTCTGGTTTACCTAAACACGAGTGAAAATGTATATTTACAAATACCAAGTTAATTACTCAAAAAGGTTTTTCTATTTTTTGCTATTGTAAAAATTTCGATTAAATAATATTTTTTATAAGTAAGGCTGTCATGGAGACAAGTATTCAAAATTAAAAAATTTATTTCATTTTTATTTTATGATAATTTTAGTCCATTCAAATATTAATCTTTCTGATTATAATGTCAGTATACTAGGAATATTTTGAATTACATTTTGAAAAAGACTTTCCGTTGAAAAAAGCATCACTATATTTGTGAAAATTGAAGCAAATATTGAATTGAGCTACTATTATTTAATTAAATCATATGCTTACAAGAGAAGGTTTTTTTGTGTAACTTTCCATTTTTTGCAAATTTGTAGTCTCAAAGTAAACCCAAACATAATACAAATCCTCTTGATTTCAACTACTGAGACACATATGATGATCTTATGTATGTAATTATATATTATTCAATTGTAATCCTTCAACCATCAAAATAGCTTACCGGAAATCTCCTACTTTATATGTTATCCTTTAAGCTTTATATATAGACGTAGAGGGACTCCAGTTTTGTTCCCCTCCCCCTCCCCATGAGTTTTGACCTCTCACCCCTCCATACATCCTTTTGTTGTATAACAGTTAAAATTACATTTTATTGAAGCTGTTTTTAACGTGTTTTTAAAAATAAAATTGGAAATAATTTTTAAGTGGCTGCTCCCCAATCGAAGAAATGAGTTTTGGCCCCTCCTCCCTCCTCATAAACTTTGTTCAGAAGAGTAATCATAATGATTAGTATTCCATCCAGGATCCAAAAGTATAAATAAGCTACTAAGAGATCTTTGAAATATTTTACTTCCTTCTCTTTATATAAAACGCCCCTTGCTCGCAACGCTCGCCAATCCCCCTATTAGTACCTATAACGTTATAAATATACAAAATACAAATAGAACGTAATTTTTTTAAAGTAAATGTTGTCACATGATTTCATCATTTCATCACGTGTTATTATTTGTATAGATATAATTTACATACAGGGTGTCAAAAAAGTTCCGGGACACCCCAGTAAGTCCTGAGATATAACTATTTCCGAGGAGATTAAGGTCATTCCTGTAGTAACTTTGAACGAGGAATCCAGCGGTGACCTTGGTTTTGACCTTGAGCTTGATCTTCAAGGTCATTTCAAGGTCAACGTTGTTTTTCAAATGGGAACCCCTATTTTTGACAACGGCAATCGAAAGGGCGGGAAATTTTACGTCCAAAACGGTATTTTTTAATTTTTTTTCATGGCCTTGAGAAGGTCAATTTAAGGTCAAATGCTTGAAAAACTGCCTAAAAGCGTTTTTTTAATTTTTAAGATATCGAAAAATGACCTCTACAAAATTTGTTCAGAACAGAGTAGGCCACTCAATGCACCAAAAACCTTTGACCTTTAACCTCATTTTGAAGGTCATTTCAAGGTCGAAGTGTTTTTTGTAATGGAAACCCCTCTTTTTGACCCCGGATTAGCACATAGCGCGAAATCCGACGTTTGGATAAGGTATTATGTTGAGTTTCGATTGATCCACGACGTTCATCGCTAAGGTCATGTGAAATTTAGATCCAATATTATTCGCGAAACATTTGCAAAATGTTTCGGGCTAAATTTATTAAATTCTACTGAGAGCATGTTACAGTGACCTTATCTTTGACCTTTGATTGTTTGAATAATAAAGTAACGGGTTATCCAAACCGAAAGGCAAGTTGTTTTAAATGAGGAGCAAGCAGAGACATAGGTACAGTTTTTTTGCCGGATAAGTTTTTTCCACTCACTGCGTTTTGAATGTTTCTTTCTGATTTCGCGCTATATGCGAATCCGGGGTCAAAAATAGGGGTTTCCATTACAAAAAACACTTCGACCTTGAAATGACCTTCAAAATGAGGTTAAAGGTCAAAGGTTTTTGGTGCATTGGGTGGCCTACTCTGTTCTGAACAAATTTTGTAGAGGTCATTTTTCGATATCTTAAAAATTAAAAAAACGCTTTTAGGCAGTTTTTCAAGCATTTGACCTTAAATCGACCTTCTCAAGGCCATGAAAAAAAAATTAAAAAATACCGTTGTGGACGTAAAATTTCCCGCTCTTTCGATTACCGTTGTCAAAAATAGGGGTTCACATTTGAAAAAAAAAGTTGACCTTGAAATGACCTTGAAGGTCAAGCTCAAGATCAAAACCAAGGTCACCACTGGATTCCTCGTTCAAAGTTACTACAGGAATGACCTTAATCTCCTCGGAAATAGTTATATCTCAGGACTTACTGGGGTGTCCCGGAACTTTTTGGACACCCTGTATAATTATAATTCTAGGTGTTGTCAACACGACATAGTGCCGTTACATATAGAAAAATAATTTAGAGTTAAAAAAATGTGTGTTGAATTTAGTTTTGGTGTCAAATTCTGGTATATGGTGTCTGATATATAGAATATTTCTACTTTTACAGGTAGAGAAATGTTATTAGAGACATGCATAATTCATATAAATTACTTAATTTATGGTATCGACTTCTTGACGTAATGATGTCAGATATATATAATGATCTTGCTACTGAGAGTCAATAACATTTTTAATTTGATAACACTGACTTAATTACTAAATTACAGTATTAAATAGTTATATAATTATAAATTCTATAAAATCATGTTATGGTCTCTAACTCTCGACATATTGGTGTCATTTTAGACACATAATGTTAATTCATGATCATAATATTATTTTTATAATATTATATTATCTTATATATATATATATATATATATATATATATATATACAGTATCATCTATAGGAACCATTCGGACTTTGTATGAATTCCATGTGATATGTAAATGATTATTTCCTCCTCCATCAGTGATTTTCTGAAATGTAATTTCAATTATTATCTTTTCTTATTATCTTTCCCTTGAAATTGCGTAACATAATCTCCTGCGATAAATTAACATAATGCAAAATTTATTATAGAATTATTTTCTGAAAAATATTCAGCTCCTAATAGTACTTTACAAGGTATAGGAAAATTATTTAATAATAACTGCAATTCGGTCAGAAGACCAAATAGGGATCAAGTAATTGCTCCTATAGAAACAAAGAGTACTGACCCTATTCCCTTTAGTTACCTACACTTACAAGGGAACCACCCCAACCCTACCTCACCGATTTGAGTGATTTTGGGATATGTTGTAGTACTTGAAAAAAAATTAGATACGTGTTTGTTTTTATCGGCCCATAAGGGCTTTTAAGGGGTGAAATCCACCCTGAAAATCTACCCCGAAAATCAGTTTTTTTAATATTTCTCAGCATCAAATGAATATTTTTCAGTAAACTCAACGTTAAAAAATTTCTTATAAAAAGGCGCTTTTAAGGACATAACATTTATACCGAAGGGCTGCAAACACCTTTTTAATAGGGGTAAATACACTATTTTTTGTACTGTTCTACGACATGTAATTCAGTAAATCAGCTCGAGTGATTTAAAAATCGCACTGATAATGAGAAAATACCAAAATTAAATTGATGTGTTTCCCACACAAATTGATGTGTTTAAATAGATTTAAAAAAAAAATGTTTATGGGGTGTTTCACCCCCTAGAAACTACTCCCGTCAAACTGTCAGCAGGTTAATCCACCTAACCCTGGGATAAACAAGTTTAGTCGTTTGTTATTTCTTGAAATAATTTAATCCTATGCATGAGCGAGCTACCTCAACTAACCAACCTGCCTCTAACCCACCAAACCCCCATGAACCACCCATACCGAACCACATGCAGACTAACCCACCTAATCCTGGGAAAAGCAACTTTAGTCGTTTGTTATTTCTTGAAATAATTGAATTTTACACAATAAGCGAGTCATCCCAGCTGAATCACATACCTCTTATTCACGTACCCCTAACGTATCTAACCCCCACCCTTAGAAACCACCCTTACCGAACCACATGCGGGCTAACCTTATATAAATAGCGAAAAATAAATGTATTTCTTGAATAACATTCATGTTGCATAACAATATGTCCCAAGTATTACAAATTTTATGTAATAATTATTATTTTCTTTTCATTATAAATACATAAAAGATAAAAATAATTAATAACGCCTTATAAATATAAGATTTGAGACTAAAATAAATTATAAATAATTATTAACTATTTTGTTTTTTCGAAATTAATAATAACAATTATAGTATCAGTTTTTTTAAAAATATTATTTGCATTGTATTACATATTGCTGTGTATAAAAGAGTAATAATAATAGTTATTTCAATGTTTAAATGCTCAACTGAGCAGCTCGTGCTATGATTCAAATTGTAGGAAGGAATTAATCGGAAAAACAAAAGCTTTTCTTTTCATTCAAGGATCTTTTTCGAGCGTCACTTTATTTAGCAATAATTAATTTGCCAATGTTTCGGGTGTATTATTGACACCCCTTATCAAGGCTGTAAAGCAACAAACATACAAATAACTCACAAAATACATCACACACACATAATTGAAATTTTACAACAAAAAAATAAAAAAAACATGATATCTTACCAATTAAAATTAAATACAGTACGCTTGCACGATCATAATCCAAATTTGCAGAGAGTGAGAGGTGAAACTTGCGGTAACAACAAACACCTTACTAAGAAAACCGTTTTTAATTTAACGTGTGCTGACATCGCAAAGAGATATACAAGAGGATGTACAAGGAAGATATCCCCTGGCCGTTAGTCTCACCGTTCAATGAACGAACAAAAAGAAAATTCAGCGGACACAGGGGGCACCTATATCGAAATTCTGAGGGGAAGAAAAAGACAGAGGCAAAAATAAAATGAGGGAGTGAAGGAGAGGAAATTTAAAAGTGGTAGGGACGGAGTGAGGTGAACGGCCGTCAAGCTCGCACACACCTTCGACAACTGCTCCTGCAGTATACATCACCGCGACGTCAACATGAAATTAATACACACAATAAAAATACTCCTAA